TATTGATTGTTCGGATCATTGGTATCTAAGTCTTCCGCTGTGCTATCTTATACCTTGTATTGAAAGGTCGGTTCTTGTTCTGGTCTGCACCTATACGGTATGCAACACCTCAGCTGGAACGTGCAAAGCTACAAGCCATTTTTGTCTTTTTCACTTTCGCTGAGAGGTGTAGAGAGACCCAGTATCTCAAATTAATAAGATATCGCCATCTTTTTTTTATTTTTCTTCACATTCGCTGCGTGGTGCAGCGAGACCACTTCTCTCACACTACCACAATATACAGATGTGTGGTCATTATATAGATGCTAATCTGCCTACCAGCATCACACCAATCACTCTCACTACAGATGCTAGAGGGCAAAAAAAGAAGAAAAAAAGAAAAGGCATCTCGTAACCTACGTAGCACCGTGTTCGCGTTCGGAGGCGAACGCGAACATGTTCGCCCGAACATGAACAAGTGCCTCAAACCCTCCGAACGCGAATATAAAAAATATTAAAAAAAAAAAAAAACGTTCTCAGAAAAATCTGAAAAAAATATATGTTATGTAAAATAACAATACAAGCAACTTTTGCCTTGGAGTCATGTTCAAATTTGTAGCCAATCATGAGTTAAAAATCAAAAACCGAAAACAATATATATATATCGTCACAAACAGAACTGCCCGGTAAACCGCAGGCAGAGAGAGAGAAGAGGACAACAAACGAGGGGCTATGACAAACTGTTTCGTCGGAGTTTCACTGACTCATCAGGAGGCTGAACCCTCAACAGTCTGCAGAATCCCCTCACTGATTACACTGTAAATGATAATCTACCTTATATATTTTTACGAAAAAAAAATATGTTCGCCCGAACATGTTCGCGAGCTGTTCGCGCGAACGAGCAAACACGTTCGCCGTGCTATGCAACTCGTAACGGTTCTTAGTACTTATTACACATATTCTTGGTTGTCCTTGGCCAACATTCATTTGAGATAAAATGGTTGTCTTTGGACTCTACCGTCTTCACCCAAATACAATGCCCGGTCGTTATAGCTGCATCGATCTGAAACAACTTTCGGTCTACAGATACAGTGATAATGACTATGTGTTCTATTCGAGGTTAGACGGTAAACAACTTTCAGTCTACAGATACAGTGATAATGACTATGTGTTCTATTCGAGGTTAGACGGTAGTGTTGCACAGCCAAAGTTGAGCAGTAACAACTTGCCGCTTAAATCTCCTTTTTTTTCTTTTCTTTTCTTCTTTTTTTCTTTTTTAACCTCTTTCAATACTTGTTAACTAGGCTACCGGACTGGCCCGGGGTCACTTGGCCGGCCGGGCCAAAATCATTAAAAACAATAAAAATAAAAATAATTTTTTTTTAATTTTATTTTTTATTCTGAATTTGGTGAAGAATTTCGATGTGACCCTGAGGCAAAAGTTGTTCACTTTATTTTGCTGCATAACATAGTTTTTTTTTCGGATTTTTTCAATTTTTTTGGATTTTTTTATTTTTTATTTTTCTTTCTGCTGGGACCTTCCCTGGTTCTTGCACGGACTGGCCACTCGGGACCCGGGCGGCCCGGCTGGTAGCCTAGCTTGTTAATGTAAAAAAAAGTTAAAAAACTCCAAACTTCAAAAGTTTTTTTTAACCACCAGTAGTACCTGGCCCCAGGCAACTGGAGAACATGTTTTGAGCCTCTGCGAAAATTTAGGCGGCCAACGCAGTACAGATAAAATGAATCGGCGGCGGGCCGGCCTCCGAAAGGGGCCCGCAGCCGATAGCTGGCCTGTACTGGTGCTTTAAATCCTGCAGTCTTTTTTTTTTTTTTTTTTTTTTGACAAATTGACATCCCATATTCTTGTAAATCGTTTTCTTTCCTTTTCCGTTTTCCCTTTCCCTTTGATTTTTTCTGTTACATGTTTTATCATTTATGTTCTCCTCTGATTCACATGAGATTTCGGCAATAACTTCATCACACAAGAAATGCAGCAAAATACTGGGTCAACTAAACTGAGGGCATACTCATACAAGGCATGTGTCCATGGATCTCTGGACGTGATTGCAGTGGTGCATCCATGACCGGATGTAATTGCATTCATTAACACCAATCAATTTGTGGTGTGAATGCATTGTACGAGGAAATGTTGGGTTTACAAATACAGGATAGACTTGAATGAAGCCCGATAAATGAGATTTCAAATCTACCCAGACGCGTCCTTCGGGACATCCGTTAAAAGTGGAACGATACACAGGGAAAAAAAAAAAAAAAAAAAAAAAAAAAAAAAAAAAAACATTGCCAAACACTTAGGCCAATGTATTATAAATATGAAGAGCAGTTCATGACCGTACAACTGCAAAGATTTGGCTCCTCGGCAGGCCTAAGGGCCCCCCTTTTTCAAGTGTGTCCGCCCTAAGTGAAGGCGGGCCTGACAAATCACGAAAGGCCCATTGCTGTCAATTTCGTATTTGGGGTTCAGGCAGTTGCGAGGATCTAGGTCCCCGGCAGGCCTAAGGGCCTCCTGGCTGCAGATGTGCCTGCCCTAAGTGAAGGCGGGCCTAACAAATCACGAGAGGCTCTAAGCTGTCAATTTCATATTCGGGGTCCAGGCAGTTTGGTTACGACAGTTGGTTGAGGGAAACACAGGCCGAGCAGCGAGACATTTCCACGGCCTTCCAGGCTTTTCCAAAAATGCAGGCCCTGGACGAGAATAAAAGGCTCATACACAGACAGTTGGGAGGCCAACCGAATGAGGCCCAGTAGCTGCAACAGAGGCACAGCATCCTGGGGCCTACCCGAAGCTTCTGGGCCGAGGCCCAGGCCAGCCAGGTTGCGAAGGCAGGCAGACTCTTTTCATATAGGAAAGAGCTCGCTGCCTGGAGCCTCAGTCAGGCACTTGCTGGCTGGCGGCAGCGCTGCTGGAGCTTTTGCTCGCGTGCTGGCTGGTAGCGCTGG